TAACTTGTCCTTAAACTTAAATGTTGGAGTCAAAGCATTTTTAAAATATATAAATTGAATTAATCCAGCAGCATTTCCTTTAACAGTTGTTGTTTCCTCAGCAGTCAAACAATACAAAGACAATATAATACCGTACAGTATACAAATTTTCTCCATCTGTGGCTTTTTATTATTCTGTTTCTTTTCTATTTTTTGAGACAGGGTTTCTCCTTGTAACTCTTATCTGTCCTGGAATTTACTCTGCATACCAGGTTTACTTTGCAAATCACAGAGATCTGCTTGCCTCTGTCTCCTGAGTGCTGGGATTAAAGGCGTGTGCTACAACACCCAGTTCCTCTTTGTCTCTTTAAAACCATTTTTTTCATGTCTGCGTATATTTTAAAACACACTGTAAACCTTTAGAGGTTTTTCTTAATATGAATCTGTCTTTACTGTAAATCTTTATCTTTTTTTTTTGGCCATGAGTCTTTATCTGTTAAACAACAACATTGCTAAAATGAAAGTCATAGCTGTATCAGCCACGGTTTACCAAAGATGGTGGCCGGTACTTTTACCGCCAGCACGGAAAGCTGTGCTCACCGCCTTGGTCTGCGTTGCCACCCAGAAAGCATGCTGCCGGCTTGGAGATGTGGTCACTGCCATTGCCATCTCTCATACACACCAATAAATTGTTAGCAGAGTTATTTAAAAGCTGTGCGGTTTTTTGCCGCTTAAGCTGAGTCAGGAACCTTCCCTTTAAGGAGCCGCGCAAATATCTGCTTGTCTCTCGCAAAACAGAGTCCAACCGAGAAAACTGCTGTTACCAAGAAACCTTGCTTATCTCTGTTCTTTTGTTTCTAAAACCCTTTTTTAACCTTTTGTTAAATTTTAAGTGGAAGTTCTTACTAGCCACGTGGGCGCCATCTGTAACGAGTACTGTTTTTCTGCCTGCCGCCGCCCGGTCTTGTCCTGCTGCTGTGCCACTAGCCCCAAATAATACACAGAGACTCTGTATTTGATACAATACTGTTGGCCCGGTTACTTGTTTCTTATCGGCTAGCTCTGTCTTAATTATTAACCCATTTCTGTTGATCTATGTATTTCTCTTACCGGGGAGCCGGCAGCATACTGCTTTCTCCAGACTCTCCATCTTGACTCCTCCTTACTACTTCCTATTTCCTCCTTGTCTCCTAGTCCCTCCTACCTTCCTTTCCTATTGGCCAACAGTGCTTTATTATTAACCAGTATGAGAAACATATACAGAATGACATCTCCCATCAATGAAAGGGTGTTGAATTTTGTCGAAGGCTTTTTCCGCATCTAGGGAGATAATCATATGGTTTTTCTTTTTCAGTTTGTTTATATGGTGGATCACGTTGATAGATTTTCGTATGTTAAACAATCCCTGCAATCCAGGGATGAAGTCTACTTGATCATGGTGGATGATTTCTCTGATGTATTTTTGAATTCGGTTTGCCAGTATTTTATTGAGTATTTTTGCATCGATGTTCATCAGGGATATTGGTCTGTAGTTTTCTTTCTTAGTTGTGTCTTTGTGAGGTTTGGGTACCAAAGTTATTGTGGCCTCATAAAAAGAGTTTGGCAATAATCTTGTGGAACAGTTTGAGGAGTAGTGGTATTAGTTCTTCCTTGAATGTCTGGTAGAATTCTGCACTGAATCCATCTGGCCCTGGACTTTTTTTCGTTGGAAGGCTTTTGATGACTGCTTCTATTTCATTGCCGGTTATAGGTCTATTTAAGTTGTTTGTTCTTGATTTAATTTTGGTAAGTGATAGTTATCCAGAAACTTGTCCATTTCCTTTGAATTTTCAATTTTTGTGGAATACAGATTTTCAAAGTATGACCTGAAAATTGTCTGGATTTCCTCTGTGTCTGTTGTTATGTTCCCCATTTCGTTTCTGATTTTGTTAATTTGCATGTTCTGTCTCTGCTTTTTCGTTAATTTGGATAAAGGTTTGTCTATCTTGTTGATTTTCTCAAAAAACTAACTCTTTGTTGCATTGATTTTTTTGTATAGTTTTCCTGGTTTCTATTTTGTTGATTTCAGCCCTCAAGTTGATTATTTCCTGGCGTCTACTCCTGCGGGGTGAATTCGCTTCTCTCTGTTCTAAGGTTGTCAGTTGGGCTGTTAATTCTTTTATGTGACTATCCTCTGTTTTCTTCATATGGGCACTTAGTGCAATGAACTTCCCTCGTAGCACTGCTTTCAAGGTGTCCCATAAGTTCGGGTATGTTGTATCCTCATTCTCGTTGAATATTAGAAAGTCTTTAATTTCTTTCTTTATTTCTTCTTTGACCCAGGAGTGGTGCAATTGCACATTGTTAAGTTTCCATGAATTTGCAGGTTTTCTGCTATTTGTGTTGTTGTTGAATTCCAATTTTAAAGCATGGTGGTCCGATAAGATACAGGGGACTATTCCTATTCTCTTGTATCTGTTGAGGTTTGTTATGTCTCCTAGTATGTGGTCGATTTTAGAGAAGGTTCCATGTGGAGCAGAGAAGAAGGTATATTCTTTTGTCTTTGGATGGAATGTTCTATAGATGTCTGTTAACCCCAGTTGAGACATAACTTCTGTTAATTCTTTTGTTTCTTTGTTGAGTTTCTGATTTGTGGTCCTGTCTAGTGTTGAGAGTGGTGTATTGAAGTCTCCCACTATAAGTGTGTGAGGTTTTATATGAGCTTTGAGTTTTAGTAGTGTTTCTTTTACGAATGTGGGCGACTTTGTATTAGGGGCATAGATGTTCAGAATTGAGACTTTGTGTTGATGGATTTCTCCTGAGATGAATATGAAATGACCATCTTCATCTCTTTTGACTAGTTTTGGTTTGAAGTCTAACTTGTTAGATATTAAGATAGCTACGCCTGCTTGCTTCTTATTTCCATTTGATTGGAAAATCTTTTCCCAACCCTTTACCCTGAGGTAATGTCTATCTTTGGAGCTAAGATGTGTTTCTTGTATGCAGCAGAAGGATGGATTCTGTCTTCGTATCCATTCTGTTAGCCTGTGTCTTTTTATAGGTGAGTTAAGACCATTAATATTGAGGGTGAGTAAGGACCATTGATTGTTGATGCTTGTTTGATTTAGGTTTGTTGTTGGCAGTGGTGGTATTGTGAATATATTTGTTCTGCTTCACCCTAGGTTTCTGGTGTAGTTGGATTATCTGTTGCCTACATTTTTGTGGGCGTAGTTACCTTCCTTGGGTTGGAGTTTTCCTTCCAATACTTTCTGTAGGGCCGGATTTGTAGATACATATTGGGAAAATCTGTTTTGTCATTAAATATCTTGTTCTCTCCATCTATATTGATTGAGAGTTTTGCTGGATATAGTAGCCTAGGCTGGCATCCGTGTTCTCTTAATACTTTTAGAACATCTATCCAGGACCTTCTGGCCTTGAGGGTTTCCATGGAGAAGTCAGGTGTAATTTTGATAGGTCTGCCTTTATATGTTACCTGTCCTTTTTCCTTCGCTGCTCTTAATATTCTTTCTTTATTCTGTATGCTAGGTGTTTTGATTATTATACGTTGAGGGGTCTTTTTTCTTTGGTCCAGCCTATTTGGGGTTCTGTATGCTTCTGGTACTTTCATGGGCATGTCCTTCTTCAGATTTGGAAAGTTTTCCTCGATGATTTTGTTGAATATGTTTTCGGCACCTTTGAGCTGGGCTTCCTCACCTTCGTCTATGCCTATTATTCTTAGGATTGGCCTTTTCATGGTGTCCCACATTTCCTGGATGTTTTGTGTTAAGGATTTGTTGGATTTATGATTTTCTTTGGTCGATGAATCTATTTCTTCTAGTTTATCTTCTGCGCCTGAGATTCTCTCTTCCATCTCTTGAATTCTATTGGTTATGCTTATGTCCGTGGTTTCTGATTTTTTGCCCAGCTTTTCAATTTCCAGCCTTCCTTCCATTTGTGTTGCCTTTATTTTCTCAATTTCTGTTTTCAAGTCTTGAACCGTTTCCTTCACCTGGTTAATTGTTTTTTCTTGGCTTTCTGTACTTTCCTTAAGGAATTTGTTCATTTCTTCCACTTTTTTGTTTGTTTTTTCCTCCATTTCTTTAAGGGATTTTCTCACATCTTCTTTGAGGGCCTCTATCATTTTTATGATGGTGATTTTTAAGTCGTACCCTTCTGCTTCCTCTGCTTTGTTGTTGTGTTCCATTCTAGTTGGTGTAGATTCCCTAGATTCTGGTGGTGTCATGTTTGTCTTTCTGTTGTTAGGTGTTCTCTTGTATTGCCTTCTTCCCATAGTTTCTTCCAGTAGGTGTTGGTGGTGTCTCTTCCCTCTCTCTATGGTTCTGTCTGTAGTTCTGTGTGGTCCAAGCTCTCTAGGAGGTTTCTCTGCAGACAGGGATCCAGGGATGGGGTCAAGGATGAGGATCCAGAAGAAGATGCCAGCAGGTACACACAGTGGTCCTCTGGCCAATAGCTCTGGCCAATAGCCAGCAGAAGATCTTGCCCGCAGGAACTCCGAGTGGACCCACAGAGATAGGCATATCTCTGGGAGGGGCCCGGGACTCCAGCAGAGGACTGGAGGCGTGGTCAGAGACCAAGCCGGTGGAAATTGCAGGTGGTCCTCCGTGGATAGTCAGGTCTCCTTTGTTCGGAGTTGCTCCGAGAAGTCTCCGAAGTAGGGTGGACTGTTGGCTCCACCCTCTGTCCCAGTGCTCAACCAGAGCGGCAGGACCTTAGGTGGGGTAGGGCACAGGGTAGGGGGGGTAGGCTGGAGGTGGGGATGGTGGGGGTGTATCAAAGCTCCAAGGGTGCTCTCGATGGGGACCAGAGACAGGAGCAGCAGGATCAGGGGCCAATCCAGGGACTTCTGTCCAGTTTCTTAAGACACATCTCTGTGAACTTTTATTTAACTCTAAATGACATACAGCGTGCATTAACACCAGTAGGTGGCTTTCACTCAAAAGCAGAATGATGCCATGTGAAAACTGAGGGCAAAACACTAGTTGCTTAAAAGGACGGATGGGTTTTCAAAGTCTGCCTTTCAGTTTTGTTCTAGGCGCAGTCTCTCCTGCCGTTGTGGTTCCCTCCATGCTGTTGTTGCAAGAAAATGGATACGGTGTCGAGAAAGGCATTCCAACATTGCTAGTGGCTGCTAGCAGCATGGATGATGTTGTGGCCATCACCGGATTCAACACATTCTTGAGCATAGTCTTTTCCTCGGGTAAATAAGAAAACGTTTCGCTTATTCCTTTTGCTGTAGTTTTTGAAGCTGGGTTTCTGGCGTTCCCTCTATATTTATTAACCAAGACTTTAATGTCTCTTCATTCTTCATAGAAAGCTCATCTTGACCAGGTAAGATGCGTCAGTGGATTTCAAATTAAATTATAAAATTTCAAAAAGAAAAAAAATGACATGATTTTTCCAAAAGCCCCTACCTCATTTTAATAATGAACTTGTTCAATTAAATTACTTATCGGCATCCTTTGCATCCTTTATCTGATTTGTGCTTTGGAATTTTGTCAGTTTATAGTGTGGCTAATACATTGACTGAAGTGTAACTCTAGACAGGACCTGGAGGAAGAGTGACCACTCAGCCTTCCTGGAGCTTGGGGAGCTGGCAAAACAGGTGGCGTCGGGTGGGGAAACACCGGACCTCCAGCCACATAGCTGCGGCCCTGCAGTGAATGGCTGGGGAAGTCCACCGTGGCTCCGCTCCTACGCTGGTCATGCTCACTGTGAAGGCAAGCGAGCACAGTGCTACGCTCCCGAAGACACCTTCACGTAGTTATCGGGAAGTGGACGAAGATGGCGCAGCCACAGGAGAACAGGGGAGAAGACACTGAGCGAGACAATCCGATCTCAAAAGAGCTCCTTCGAATTCTTCATCTTAAAAAAAAAAAAAAAAAAAGTGTTTTCAAATGTTTGCATTTCCACAATTAGTGATGCTCCCATTACCAGTGTGGATAAGAGCTGGATGTGGTAGTGTGGCTACATCAGCATTTTAGGAGACTGAGAATGGGTCACGTGAACCCAGGAATCCAAGGCTCTTAAATATCAGAAAATGTATTTAAAAATATAATATGCTGTTGAATTCAGTTTACTCATATAAAAATTGAGGTTTCTTGCATCATTATCAGGAAGAGTGATCTGAAGTTTTCTTTTTTAATTTAACTTCTTTACTGATTCTTTGGCAGTTTCACATCATGCACCCCAATTCTGCTCACCCCTGCAGTGGCACCTCCCCACAAAAGAAAAAAAAAAAAAAGTAAGCAAGCAAGCAAATAGCAAAAATAAAAGCTGAACAAAACATCTCTCCAACGCCTCTTCATTTGTCCTGGTGGCATCGGGGCCTCCGTGTGTCACCCTTTTGTCCTATGAACTTTACCAGCAATTTTCACTGCAATAAGTCACCGTTCTGGTTCAAGGCCTCTGGTCTCTGGTACACTGTCATCACTGGATAGTTTTCTTACAGTATGGTTGGCTTTGGCATCAAGGTAGTAATGGCCTTGTAAAATGCATTTGGAGGTTCTTCCTCCTCTTTAGCATATATTTTCTAAAACTTTGCAAAGTAGGGATGTTTTTCCTTTATATGCTCAGCATAGTTTCAGAAGCTCTCTGGCTCAGGAGCATAGCTCTGATCTGTCCTTTGTTAGGTGAGGCAAAGGCCAATGCTTTAGGCAATCTCCAAAACTGCCCGTCTTCTCTTTGCCTTTCAGTGGAGAAGTAATGAGTGGCATACCTCCCCACCCCGTGCCAGCTTCGGGATGGGCTTCCAGCTGTACACGACACAATTCCAGCGGTTTCTACTTGTTTCCTTGCCATTGTTCTTGACTTTCCCCTTGCATGGATCACCACGTCTTCTTAATTGGCATATGGACTTCCACGAAGGCTCTTTGGCCATTTGTTATTGTTCAGTGGGTGTGTCTGTCCCAGGCCAGGTTCAGTATTCCCATTCCAGCATCTCAACCAGTGCCCCTCTCTTGTTTGGGGTGGAAATATTTCTAACACATACATATGTTTGTATGTTCATTCAATGCTTAGAATAAAACCAAACAATTTTTTTAAATTGAGGAGCAAGTTGGGGGGGGGGGTTCTTTACTCTTTTAAATACACAATGACTTGTAGGAAATAATCATATTAAAACATCGAAGACCTAATTGACTTATCTATATCTGAGACTAACTTTGGCATACAAATGTTTTATGTGGTTGTTACTGGTAAGTTGTCCTTTGAGCATTTAAGTGGCTTGTTTATTTTTCACACAACATATGGGAATTGTCAGTGTGGTCTAACCCAGCCCATACCAATGCTCCTGTCACTTGCTCTCAACTTTTCTCCCTTACTTGGTCTCATGGGTTGAGTGTAAGGAGAACACACTATTTCTTTGTTTTCTGACCCATTTATACAATGGATATTTTTAATTGTGTGTTTATATTAAATTATTAGGAATAGACATTTAACTTCACATAACTCTGAATATGTATTCACATATGTCACTATGAAAGGTTCAATTTTGTAATTTGTTCTATGAAATGTACTCATGAACCACATAGGTCTTATTCTATAATGGATAATGTATATGAAAATATTTTTCAGTGAAAAGTTTCTTTTAATTTGTGCCCTTACAGGTAGTGTGATTAGCAATATCCTATCGTCCTTGCGGAACGTATTTATTGGTGTGCTGTTAGGAATTGCTATGGGATTTTTTATTCAGTATTTCCCAAGTGGAGATCAGGTAAATTAAAAAAAAAAAAAAAAAATCTGGTTTGTAGAACTTCAGTGTGTTAGTCAGCCTCTCATCGCTGTAATGAACTGCCTGGGACTCTCTTAGCCTGTAGAACAGAAGGGTTAGTTGCCCACAGTTGTGACGGTTACAGTCTGCTGTCACCCTGCCTCGTCCCCTGGCAGCGTACCCTTGCAGAAGGAGTGGCAGAGCCAACTATGAACCCTGGGACAGAGCAAAAGGAGGGAGGGACTGGAACTTAACAACTTCCTCAGAAGCATGCTTCCCTGATTTCCAGAGATTCCGCCAAGTCCCATACGATCGCCTGGCATCAAGCTTTTTAATGCAAGGATGTTAGGGGACAGTCCACATCCAAGCTACAGTGTGGGTGTAACATAAACCTTTCTGAGACAACTTTGGAAAGAACTGTGAAACATAAAGTTCCATACTTAAGACTCTTTCCCCAGAAGTTGCCTCTGATGCCTATGGCATACTTAAAACTGAGCATGATAGCGAGGCTAATGTCGCCGTGTCCTTATCTGGTGAATTAAAACACTGAGAACAATGTATGTGACTCCCCTCTCCCTTCCAGTCCAGTGTCATCCCCACTAAGTCATCTGCTGATGCTTGATAATTTTCTTAGTCTCTTTTTTCCCAAAATTTTCTCCTGAACATCTTTGTTTATCTATCCAATTTATCTGCCACTCCCTTTGACAAGGGCTTTAGACCTGGTTGCTTTTGGTGGCAGTGGTGGCAATTTCGAGACAAAGTCTCACTATGTAGGTAGGGCTGGTTTTGAACTTAACAATTGTCACTGTCCTGCCTCAGCTTGTAATTGCATCAAAGTTACCAGATCTTTTCAATAAAGAAATGTTCAAACAATGTACTTTTCACAACATTTTGGAGACTATTTAACACAACCTTTACAAATACTATAACAAAGGGTTAAAAGAAAGATAGATAATGCCACACCTTGTATGTTTAATGTAAAACAACTTCTAAATGTGTATTTCTAGGAGAAACTTACACGGAGGCGAGCCTTCCTTGTTCTGAGTATGTGTATTTCTGCTGTCTTAGGCTGTCAGTACTTTGGCTTACATGGATCTGGAGGATTGGTCACACTAGTGTTGTCGTTCATGGCAGCAAAAAAATGGGCTAAAGACAAGGTGAGTTTCCAATTTTATAACAGGTAAAATAGCTGGATTTTGAACTATACAATGGGCATGTAGGAAATGGTCTCCATCTAGATGTTCTGCATGGAGTGAGGAATTAAGTATTAAAGAAAACCACTTTGACGTAGGGTAAAATGAATTAGAAGCTGTGTTCTTATGTCAGAATTTTCCCCCGAGTTTCATATGATTTGATTATATAGCTCTTATTATTTTGGTCTTAAAATTTAGTTCTATAATTTACCCATGAAAACGTGTTCCTAAAATTTAGCATATCTGTGCCCCAAATGCTATATTGGGTTTTGTTTCTTTTTTTTTTTTTTTTTTTTTTTTTTTTTTCATTTTTATTCACATCTTACATTTTTTTAACGGAGAGTGGCATGGAGGTCAGAGAACAACTTATACAGTCAGTTGTTTCTTTATGCTGTGTGGGCCCTGGTACTAGAGCTCAGGTTATCATGCTTTGTGACAGGAACCTTTATCCATTGAGACATTTTACCTGTTCAACTTATACTTTTTTAACTGATGGCATAAAAGTGGTACAAAAAAAAAAAAAAAGACAACATGGTGATAAAGATTAAAACATATAGACTGTTTTACAAATAAAATAAAATAATAAAAATAGGCTGGTGTAATGACCCAGCAGGCAAGGGCAAAAAACAAACAAACAAAACATATAGACTGAGTGCAAGAGATTCCTATATTCCTTACCCCCCAAATAGTCTTCTTAGTCTCCAAAATTAATCATTTTAACGAATACTATATTTGTAGGTGTGTGTATATATTCTGCTTTTAAAATAAAAATGTTCCTACAATGAACAGATTTCTTCATGTAGCCTTTTCATATATACAAGTATCTTGTAGGAATGGATTCATAGAAATGGGGTTCCTGGGATAAAAAATAATCTTTTATTTTGACTGATATCACTAGGAAAGATTTTCAGTACTTATACTCTTGCCAACAGAATAGGAATCTTACTGAAAACAACTTTGAAGTAGTCAACTTGAGTCTAGGGAAACAGGCCTAACAAACTACCAGAATATTTTCTTCCTACCTGTTTATGACCTGTCTAAATGGACTGGGTTCCAATATTGTCACTGGGCAGGTTTTCCCACTCTCTTCTGATGGACCAGGAAATTGCATGGGCTATGAGTGTTCTCATCCCTCATTCTGTGTTTCCATCTCTACTTCTGAATATTATGAGGACTCCAAAAACTTTTTCTTTTCTGTAATATAGTGATGGCATGATACTGTGTAAGGAGCAGGTTTTTCCTGCTGGCCTGGATCCACCGCAGCACCATCCCCAATTAACACACCTAGACTCTGTATTAGGTATAATTCTGTTGGCCAGTTACTTGTTTCTTATTGGCTAGCTCTGTCTTAATTATTAACCCATTTCTGTTAATCTAAGTATTTCCACGTGGTCTTCTTACTGGAGAGTGGGCCCGGACCTCTGTTCTCTCCAGTCTCTCCATGCTGACTCCTCCTTCCTACTTCCTCTTTCCTTCTTGTCTCCTAGTCCCACCTGTCTTGCTTTCCTATTGGCCAACAGTGCTTTATTCATTAACCAGTATGGAAACGTATTTACGCAATGACATCTCCCATCAATACTGCTTATTGTATAGCTTTGTGTATTTCCTTAACAAAATTCTGCTTGGATAAATGATGTTGCTCAATTTTCATAAATTAAGTTTTAACTTTTTCCCTAAAAATGAAATATCATCAGTTTATTAAATTTTAAAAACGGTTTAAAAATTCTGAAATGCAGTCAAATATATGTGCACAATAACTAGACAATGTAAAATTCTGAAGTACAGTTACCTTTACAGGCCATAACTGAAATGTATCTCTCTTTCCTATAGGTTGGAGTCCAAAAAGTTGTTGCAAACACATGGAATATTTTTCAGCCACTTCTTTTTGGCTTAGTTGGAACAGAAGTATCTGTTGAATCTCTTGAATCGAGAACTATTGGTAAGAGTACATAAAGCAAAGAGGAGATAAAATCCAGCTTTTTAAAATTATGAGTGCTTTATTTTTGTGTATACCATACGTTTGAATACCCTGTACACCTTCAGATATTGCATCTACTCTGTTTTTCTCTACCTGTGCATTTCTTTATTTGCAGTTAAAGACAACCCAAGCGATCCAAAGAAATAGCTTACAGGAAACATTAGATATCCTTCTAGGCTTCTGTCTGCATCTCTGTAAACAGGTCCCCCAGAAGGCAGTTCACCATCAAATGCAATCCATTCAGCAGATACTACCTCAAGTGAACTGAACGTCACGCCATCTATCTTTCTTTCGTGGTACATCCACCGTCACAGAATCTAGTCCTTTAGTAGGAACCTCCATGAAGGCCAGGGAGATGGCTCGGCTGGGAATTGCTAGACATGCAATCCTTAGGACCTAAATTTGATCCAGGCACCCACGTAAAAACCAGTCTCAGCAGCACTGGGAAGCAGAGACAGGAGGCTCTCTGAAGCTTGCCAGTGTAGCCAATTAGTAAGCTCCAAGGACAGTCACAGACCTTGTCTACAAAAGAAAGCCATTGAAGGGTCAACAGACTGCTTGCACTTCCAGAGGACTCAGGTTCAATTCCAGCACCCACATGGCAGCTAACAACTGTCTCTAACTCCAAGGTCTGACACCCTCACACAGACATACATGCAGGCAAAACACCAATACAAATGAAATAAAAGTAAACAAATTATTTTTTTAAAAAAGAAGCCATTGAGTAAGACACCAAACATAAACTCCTGGCCTGCCTGAATGTGCATGCACACCCCAGCACACACACACACACACACACACACACACACACACACACCAAAACACCTCATTTTTACTTTGTATTTTTTATAAATACTATTTTTACTTAAAATAGATATAATGAAGCAACAGCCTCAAAATATTTTCAGAAATTTTAGAATTCATCTCTCTAGGCAAAAAAGGCTTCCTCCCAATTGCTTTGTTTTTTACATTTGTTTATATGTATTATAGGCATGTGTGTTGCTACCTTGGGTTTGGCATTATCTGCTCGAATTTTAGCCACTTTTACATTGATGTCTTTTGCTGAATTTCGTTTTAAGGAGAAAGTATTTATTGCTTTATCATGGATCCCCAAAGCTACAGTTCAGGTAGGAACATACTAAGTCATTCATAATAATTTCGGTTTTGATAAGTTTTAAATGTTCGATGTGAGAGACTGGAGAAATGGCTCAGCAGTTAAGAACGCTAGCTGCTCTTCCAGAGGATCAGGGTTCAATTCTCAGCACACATATGGCAACTCCCGACAGTCTGTAACTTCAGTTCCAGGAGATCCGACACCTGTACACAGAGTATATACAGGCAAAAATACCAGTGTGTATCAAATAAGTAAAACTTAAAAAAAAAAGAAAGAAAAAGAAAAGGGTTCCCATCCTCCCTCCATCCTCATTCTAAATGAAAAATATTTTTGTAATGACAAATTGTGATCTTATTTACTTTACTTTTACCATGTTTGATTGATGACTCCTTTTTAAAACCTAGAACTGAGGAGAATGCTCAAGGGGAAAGAGTGTTTTTGCTGTGCAAGTGTGGAACAGGAGTTTGGATCCCTAGCACCTAAAACAGGCTCGGCCTCAATCCTAGGGCTGGGTGTGGGGAGGGCGGGGCAAAGATGACTGGACTAAAGCAGGGAACGGCTGAGGAGTACAGCTGACATCCGGCCTCCCCATGAGCACAAACAGGCACATAACTCATGCATGCATGTGCACACGTGCATGCAGACCACATACACACACACACATACAGACACACACTCATATACACATACATACACACACAGACACACATACACACACACAAACATAGACACACACATACACAGACACACACACATACATACAGATACGCACAGACACACATACATACATGCACAGACACACACACAGACATATACACACACACAGACACACACATACACACACAGACACACACACATACACAGACACACATACATACACACACACATACAGACACACACAGACACACACATCGATTAAAACATTTGTTTTTAAATCAATTGTTCTGAAATTTAAGAATACTTTTAAATGGCAAATACTTTCTAAATTTTATGAAAATGTTTTTTTCTCTATTTCCTAAATATGGAAATAAGCCGAGGCATGGTGACAGAACCTTTTTCCAGCACCTGGGAGGCAGAGGCAGGCAGATCTCTATAAGTTCACGGCCAGCGTGATCTACATAGAGAATTCTAGGACAGCCAGTGCTACCTAGATAGACCCAGTCAAAAAAAAAAAGTATAAAATAAGAACATATAATATGGGACTGTATTTATATTGTTGCGTGCTATAGAGGCAAATGTTATACCTTTAGAGATACATTTGTTTTTGTAAGTGTATCTTTCCTTATCCTGCCACTCACTCTACCACACAAATCATAGATATTATTTTAATTAGACATTTGTTTTTATGATATGTGACTATATAGGAAGGACAGAGATAGTGTCTTTTGAGGGCATTTTATTTGTTTCTTTTTCATTCTTCCCCTACTGTTTGACACAATACCTAGCAGGAAGAAAGTTGTCTTGAAAATTGTATTGCAACTGAAGGAAGACAGGATTTATTTCATCCTACACTTCCTTCATCAAGGGAAGTCAGCACAGGAACTCAAGGAACCTGGCCGCCGGGACTGAAGCTAAAGTCGTAGAGGTCCTTGCTTACTGGCTTGTTTTCCTTCACTTGTTTTCTTATACCATTCAAGACCACAGCCCAAGGGTAGCACATCCCACAGCGGACTGCACCCCCCCCCACATCAGTCATTAATCAAGAAAATGCTGTACAGAGTTGCCTACGACAGTCTGATGGAGACATTTTCTCTATTGAGGTTCTTCTTCCCAGATAACTCGTGTCCAATTGACAAAATACAAAACAAACAAAAAAAACTAACCAGGATATGGGTAAACATGTCCTGCATGAACGATTGAATTAATGAAGACTTGGAGATTTGTCCTCTAATTCTATAACAATTTCCTCCTTTTAAAAGGCACCTGTTAACATTTAATGGCAGCATAAAACCTTGCTTTCTTGGGATTTTTTTCCCTCCATTTTATATACACATATATGTGTGGGACTTTTAAAATTATGTCTTACATTATGATGTTAATATGAGATGTGGGGGACAAGCAAGAAGGAAAAAGTGTGGATTAGTCTTAAGTCTGTCAAAGATGACAGAGTGTGCATCAACCCCAGCTGTCACCTTGACAAACAGAGAATCAGCGGGAAGAAGGGACTGCAGCTCCGGGAATGGTTTGTGGCCATGTTTGTGAGGCATTCTCTTGATTGCCAACGGGTGTGGGGGGCTTAACTGACCATGACTAGTGCCCCCTCTAGGCAGGGTGCCAGGGTTATACCAGAAGGAGGCTGACTGTGAGCCAGCAAGCAGGCTCTCCTCTAGCCTTGGCTTCAGTTCCTGTCTCCAGGTGCCTGCCTGACTTCCTGACCTCACTTCCCTTCGTGATGGATGATAACTGTAAGATGGAATGAACCTTTTCCTTGCCAAATTGTTTTTTTTTTCTTATTTTACATATCGATACCAGTTCTCTCTCGCTCTCATTCTCCCATGGCCCCCGACCCCACCTCCCATCCCATTCCCCACCTGTTCCCCAGGGAGGGTGAGGCCTCCCAGGAGGGATCATCAACATCTGTCAGGACATTTGGGGTAGGATCTAGGCCAGGCCCTCCCTCCTGCCTCTAGGCTAAGGGAGCATCCCTCCATGGAGAATGTGCTCCCAAAGTCCTTTTGTGCGCCAGGGATACATCCTGGTTCCACTGTCAGAGATCCCTTAGACTGCCCAGGCCTTCTAGCTGAGACCCACATTCAGGGGGTCTGAGTTGCTCCAATGCTGGTTTCCCAGCTATCAGTCTGGGGGTCCATGAGCTCCCCCTTGTTCAGGTCAGCTGTCCCTGTGGGTCTCTGCAGCCTGGTCTTGACCTCTTTTCTTATCACCCCTCCTTCTCTGCAACTGGATTCCAGGAGATCGGCTGCCAGATTGCTTTTGATTGCCATGTTTGTCACAGCAGTAGGAAGCAAACAAGGACACCAAGCATTCTCTCGGGCCTTTATTTAGAGATATTGGTGAAAATGAGAGTGGAAAACGGTAGAATAGCATAAAGAATTTAATTCAGAGATGGAAGCTCAGCTTGTTGATTGAATTTTCCAAGAAAATGATATTCAATCTGAGATACTTAGTGAGGATCATTTATCTTCTAATAGTAGTTTCCGTGCAGCAAGTTTGCCAAAAGGAGTAAATGAGTTAATAACTGTAAAGCTTTAATAATGACACTTTCTTCATGACAGATGCCACATAACTGTGCAAATGTTACCATTGTTGCTATTGCCATCCCTTTCCAATAATGTTTTTGGCAGTTCTCTTCTGTTCAAAACCTCATATAGACTTTAGGGTTCTTTAGAACCTGTTTTCTGTCTGATCCTTTTCTCCCTGGCATCTAGCACACTGGCTTGTGTTCAGTAAATAAGTTATTAAATGGGGCTAGAGAGAAAGTTCATTGCTTAAGAGTGCTCATTGCTCCCACAAAAGACCTGGATTCGCTTCCCAGTACCTACACAACAGCTCCCAACCATCTGCTACTCCAGTTCCAGTAGATTAATGCCCTCTTCCAGCCTCTGAGGGTCCCTCTGCTTTTTGCATGCATATGGTATGCGTACACACATGCAAGCAAACACCCATCCATATAAAATAAAAATAGTTTAAAGGTTATCATTAACAAAAACCCTCAAGCTGGGCATGGTGGTCCATGTGTTTAATCCCGGCTCTTGAGAGGCAGAGGCAAGTGGATCTCTGAGTTTGAGACCAGTCTGCTCTACAAATTGAGTTCCAGAATAGACAGGGCTGTTACACAGAGGAAAATCTGTCTCAAAAAAAAAAAAAAATTATTTTTAAAAGTCTTCAGTTGAGGTGGGTTATCTTCTTCCAAAATGCCCTCATCAAGTAATATTTCTGCCATTATGCTACTAATGTACGATTCCTTAGTTGGTGTTTATTTGTATTTAATGCCTGAAAATTTTAAGGCAGTTTCTGATTTGTATGTGTATTAATAAGTAAAAATAAAGACATATATATATATGTGTGTATGTATGTATGTATGCATGTATGTATGTCATCAGCCACAGTAGCTCATGCCTGTATTTCTAGTACTCAAGAGGTAGACATGGGCTGTACAGTGAGACCTTGTCTCAAAAACAAAAGAAAATAAGTAAATAAATGGTAACAGACACTGACTGGGGTTCCTGGGGGGGCAGGGCATGAACACCTTTCTAAGTCAGCAGGAATTTAAAAGAAAATATCTTCTCAGGGGCAAAGAAGAGTGACTGGAGAGAGAAACACGAAATCCCCTGAATCCCTGCTGTGTGCTGGGTGTCCTGTGCAGGCCTCTGCCCCATTGTCACAGCCATCCAGTGAGGTGGTATACTGCAGAGCCCTTTAAGCTATCACTCGCTCACCTGGTTGAGCAAGAACAAAATTTAAAGTCAATTAGCCAGATTCCAGCTCTGGCCAGTTTCTGACTCAGCCCACTGTAGGAGTCACAATGGGACGAGCACACACCCCTGGAGACATCAGTGTTTTGTGCTGTCTTGTTGCAGACACGGACCTAGGGGTATATGACAAAACCGTGTAAACCATACTGGTCCACTTATAAACCCAAATTTCTGGGAATAGTGTGAGCACACAAAAGGGGTGCTGAGGTGGGAATTCCACAGGGAGAAGAGAACACAATCAGCCCCCAAATGTCTGCCCTTTGATTTGTCCAATTAATGATCAAATGATACAAATTACTCCACATTTGGTTTTTTTCTTTCTAGTACTTTACCACCCAATTTCATTTTGTGTGCTTTTATAATAGAGCCTCTTGTGTTCATTATATTAACTCTGAGTAACATTTTTCTTTTGCCCTGTGTCCTCCCCAACTGCAGGCTGTCTTAGGTCCTCTGGCTCTAGAAACAGCAAGAAAGGTCATGGCACCCCAGCTCGAAGCATATGCAAAGGATGTCATGACAGTGGCCTTTCTAGCCATCCTGATCACAGCTCCAAATGGGGCCCTTCTTATCGGCATACTGGGACCCAAAATACTCGATCGTGGTGAGGTGATAGGCCCTTTAAAATTGGAGCTGTCAGATTTTGAACATCATTAAAATGTTTGCATCAACCCCCCTGCTTCATCTAATGAATTGTGTCACATGACAGAAAAAGGTTTTACCGTACAGAAGATTGGAGATTGTCCATAGAATGGAGTCAGTAAATGCACAACTTCTATACAGGGTTTTCCTCTGATTTATGCACCAGAAGTAAATTTAATAAAAAATGTAATAAAAATGTATTAAATGCAGTGCTTTTTTAGTTTAGTATTTGCATATTTCAAGAATAAAGTTGCCGACTGGCACACACCTTTGATCCCAGCACTTGGGAGGCAGAGGCAGGTACATCTCTGTGAGTCCCAGGCCAGCCTGGTCTACAGAACAAATTCCAGGACAGGTTCCAAGGCTACAGAGAAACCCTGTCTCAAAAAAAAAAAAAAAAAAGTTTTAATTAGTCAGTAAATAAATAAACAAACTTAGTCAGCAAATACTGTAGGTAAATGCAAAGTAACCTTAAGGCTGCTGAATTTTATGTTGTAATACAAAACAAGCATAAGAAAAACTCAATTAGCCTTAAGAGACAAAAAAAAAAAAAAAAAAAAAAAAAAAAAAAAAATACGACCTTTGAGTTCTGAGCTTGCCAAGAAGAAAGGCTAAATTTCAAGTGGGAGGAGCAGAAACCCCATCAGTTCTGATAACAAACTTGTCAGAGGCCAGGCACGGTGGCACACACCTTATTCCCAGCACTGGAGAGACAGACAAACTTCCTACGTGTCATCTGAGTAGACTTTGGTTTTAGTGCTGCCTGCCTGGGGAAACTGGTGGCAGACAGAAAGACTTCTATGCTCATGCCACTTCTATGATAACCTCACCAGCCTTGGATGAAACACTCACACTATCTGTATTCTTTGTTTGCAGAAATAAAATGAAATCACAAATGCAAATGAACTGAATTTGTTTTGTTTTTGAGACAGGGTTTTCTCTGTGTAGTTCTGGCTCTCCTGGAACTTGCTCTGTAGACCAGGCTGGCCTTGAACTTACAGAGATCCACCTTTGGCCTCCAAGTGCTGGGATTAAAGGTGTGCACCACCCCCGCCCAAGTGCAAATTTTTATTTTTTTGGGGGGGGGCGCTGAATATTTTCAACCCAGGCATTAAAAGCAGTCTACAGAAAGGAAAGTTAGTCAGCTACAATCTTCATCTGAGCAGCTTGTCATTAGCAGCCGTATTTTTCAGCATTAGCAGAAGGAATCGGCTATGCCAATCAAAAATTTGCTACAAGCACAGTGCAACTTCAGATTCTTGAAGAACAGCTTCTCAAAAAAGGCAGCTAGATGGTGTCCACGGCTGGAGTTGGGTCCCCAGACCCATGAAAAGGTGGGGATGTAAAGAGCTGACAGCACAGAGTTGTTCTCTGGCCTGTGTGTGTGCCATAGCACATTTACTCACACATGCACACATGTACTTTTAAATATAAACGTTTTTTAATTTGCCTTATTGCATGGCCTCTTAAAATTTATACAGACTTGACAATATCCCTGGGCAGAATTTAGCATCAATGCAGATGCTCTGTTCCTCTTTGACATAGCAACATCCTGAAGGGGAACAGATTGTAGAAAGAATCGCACAAAAACGTGCTAGGGATGCAAGGAAAGTTAAAAGCAATCTACAGTGTTACTCCTATTAAGACCAAGGCATTTTGAGAACTATATAACCAGACCTAACAAAAATTTAAAGTATTTCAGATAGTTCTTGGCAAGGCAGTAGCTACAATTGTCTCATCATTTTTTAATGCACTTACGACACAACACGGGTGATAAAAGATTTCTCTATCATTTATTAGCAAGCAGAATCCGTACACAAATATTAATGGACAAATGGGGAACCTGAACCTAATCTCAGGCTGCTTCCTACACCCGCAGTTGCAGACCCCACCCCACCCCGCCTCCACTCAGCAGTCTCTTGTTTCTGGATGGAAAAGGGGCCCCGCCCACCTCTTACTCGGTCATGTCCATCCCCAGTGAAAACTCCACCCTTTGGTCCAAACGCTCCTCTCAATTGGCTAGCAGACCAGTGATGGAATTCCTGTAACAGACAAGCTTCTTGACTTCAGCACTTTTGGCGAGTTCCAGACCAGCCAGGATCGTGTCTAGGCCAGGAAGAGCCTGTCCCACACACCTAAGTCACTCAAAAGACTAATGCAGGGGAAGTGGTGAAAATTAAAGCCAGCCTCTTCCAAACAGCAAGTTCTAGGAGTGTCAGGACTACACAGTAAGAAGATCCCCAAAATAAATCAACTTTCTATTTTAAATTGTATTATTTATTTATTTATTTATTTATTTATTTATTATGTGGTCTGCAATTTATTATGTAGACCAGGCTGGTCTCAAACTAAGACATAATACAGGCAGAACATCCATTACACATAAAAATAATAAGTAAAATGTTCAAAACATTATGAAGCCAGGGGTGGTGGTGGATTTTTATAATCCCTGCAGTCAGTAGGGCCAGCCTGGGCTACTTAATGAGTTCCAGGTACGTTTCGGCAACCAGGACATTAAACTTATAAACTTAGCATTTTCTGCTTTAGCTGGGCCAGGGAGTCAGGGGGCGCTGGGAGCACAGCTCAGTTGGTAAAATGCTTGTCTAGTAAAGTCCAGAATTCAATCCCAGTCCTACATAAACCGGGGATAACCAAAACCTCAGCAGGTAGAGGCAGGAGGATTCAAAGTTCAAATTCATTCTCAGCTAAGCGGGGAGGTCAAGGCCACGTGCTTTTACTGGACTGGAGAGATGGCGCAGCAACTAAGGACCCTTACTACGGCAGGCCCCAGGCAGGCAGGCAGGCAGGCAGGCAGGCAGGCAGGCGGGCGGGCGGGCGCCGCTACGATAAACAGGTGTGAGGTAGAGAAATAGGAAGCTGCCGTGGAGAGAAATGGAGCTGAAGATAAGGCAGTGGTGAGGAGCGGGCTGATGGGAGACTTCATGCTACACCTGGGGCCATGTGACGTCTGGGTCTGTTCTGCCGTTGTCTGGGTTCGTGGCCCAATTGCAGCTGAGGGTTTGTGTTGATGATGCCCATGGCCCTTGTTACCACCAAAGGCCATACAGACACCCCAGGGTCCGGGCGACCACCTGAGGCCATGCTGGTATCTGAGGCCCATGTTGCCACTGGGGCCATACCCGTCTGAGTGGCCTGGTGACATCTAGGGCCCGAGCTGTGACCGAGGACCAAGTCTGGGTCTGTGGCCTTATTGAAGCAGGGATCTGAGATGATGTCAGTGGCCCCTGTTACCACCCAGGGCCATGGGAGAGAGCTGACCCTGACCCTCGCTTGACGGGGTTGGTCCCAGTGGTGGCCCAGACCGACCAACTCGGATACCACCCAGGCCCGCCCACATCCAGGGCTTTGAGTTGGCACTCCCCATCCCATCTATGACCCACGGAAGCACAGCAAGGGACTGGGCCTGCAGAACCACAGCAGCAGAGTCTGCGCGACTGGGACAACAGCAGGATATCTGAGGGAAGATTCCGTGAGGGTCCGGGATTGATGGTATACCAGAAGCCGTGAAGCAGATTCTGTGAGGGTCCGGGATTGATGGTATATCAGAAGCCATGAAGCAGATGAATGACTCCTTGCAATGAACATTCTCGAGTAGAGCTATTTGAGCAGAAGAAAGGTGTACTGCATGACACCGCAGCTCCCCAGGCCACCAAGACGAATAAAGAAGTGGCGAGCCAGGAAAGATGGAGGAGCAAAGTGTTTAGTGTATGTTTAAACAAACAAACAAAAAACAAACAAACAAACAAAAAAAAAAAAAACTACTTACTGCTCTTACAGAGGACCCAGGTTCAGTTCCCACCATCCATATGGTGGCTCACAACCGTAAGTAACTCCAGCTCCAGAGGCCGCAATACCCTCTGGCCTCCATAGGTCCCTAATACACATACATGGTCGTGCAAACTCACACAGGCACACACACGCATTTTGAAAGAACTTTTCCAAGTTCTAGGGTTGTGGCTCACAGGGTAGAGTGTGCATCTAAGATGCATGAATTTGACTCCCGGCACTTCATAAAATGTGCCACGGTGTCATATGTCTATAATCACAACACTTGGGAAATCAGCCAGGAGGGCTCAGAGTTCTAGGTCTCTCTTGGATCCACAGTGAGTGTGAGGCAGTCCTAGGCTATATGAGACTCGGTCTCCAAAAAAAAAAAAAAAAAAAAAAAACCAATAGGGGAGACTTGCTGTGCAAACATGTAATCACAAAAAGCATAATAATCTATTTAAAATCCCCTTCCTGTTCATCAGAAAAGTCTCTTTAAGAGTAGCTGTGGGGTGGAGGTGCTAGAGAGATGGACGGCTCAGTGGTCCAGAGGACCAGCTGCCTTCCAATTCCAGGGTCCTATCAGCAGAAAAAAAAAAAAAAAAAAAAAAAAAAATCCATACACATGAAATAAAATGTTTTAAAACAGCCTAGGACTGGCCAGATGACTCAGCAGCTAAAGGAGCTTGCCACCAAGCCATGGCAACTTCCATCTTTAGATTCAACATAGTGGATGGACACACAAAATAAATGTTAAAAAAAGGTGTTTAATACAATAAAACTAGCCTTAATGTTACTCAAAGGGCTCATTTCTGCTTGTTGCCTGAATGTTTACCAAGTTCCTTTAAAACAGGAGGAATTTCAATTGCACCACCCTCCTCATTTGCATACTCTGCTGCTAAGGAGAGCTTAAGAACAAGAGTGAGCCTTGCTTCTTGGATTATTTAGAAGTTGAAAAGAATGGATAGGGGCGTTTTGTTTGTTTGGTTTTGCTTTTTTTTTTTTTTTTTTTCAGGATTTCTTTGTGTAGCCCTGACTGTCCTGGAACTCAGAGATCCACCTGGCTCTACCTCCTGAGAGATAGGATTAAAGGTATGTGCCACTATGCCCGTTGAAGGGCTTTCTTAAGAATGAAAACATACTAGGATGTCAAGAAGGCGCGTGGGCAAAGATGCTTGTTGCTGAGCCCTACGACCCGACTGGACCCCACAAACCCATGTGGAACACGGGAACTGATTCCCACAAACTGTTCTCTAACTGCCAACATGGCACAACCTCCCACTGCAAACAAAAGTGAGCAGGACAAGTGTCTTTAAGCAATGAAAGCATATCTTCAGTGGGTCTAACTGATAATTCACTCAGCTGCTTTTCCT